GGGGGGGTTGTTTTGTTTTTTCTCTGTAGTCATACTGTGCCAAACATCATGGTTCAAGCCAGATCTAGGAAACTAAGTATGTTCAGCAGGGCTACGCAAGTACAGAACCAGGACATGGGGTACATTTCTGTTAACCCTAATGTCTCCAGTCAAAGGTTTTTATCTGAATGGGTGAGAGGGAGACTAGAGGTGATCTTTTCTTGGATTGCCAGATGGAAAGCAAAAGTTTGTACTGTTGGAAGAAATTGCTCAAGCTCCTTCCTTACTGCTATGCACACATCCATCTGAGAAAGGGCAGCATGTCTGACAGAAGTGGAGAGATTAGTCCTGGATGAGATTTAGCACAAAGCAGTTGGGTAGATTTATTAGGCATAGTCTCCGGTGTGAAACTGCCATGTGAGCTTTCAAAGTGTGTGGCTGGCGCGGGAGATTTTGGTGCTGTGTCCGTTACTTCTGCTTCGGGGTTGCCCATTAATTAAGACTGCACATAAGCTGATTGATATCAGGCTTGCCATTAAATGAATGGGGGGGAATTTCCACCCCAGCTGCCTCGGAGGTGGTGGCCCCTGAGACACTCTTCCCAGACTAAAGCTCATAAGACAAAGGCTTCATTCACAAATGCCCAAGCCGGCCTCCTTTCTCCCCACTGTGCTCCCCCCATCAGCACTGCCCTATTCCCTTCTCTCATTCCCCCCTGCCCTGTCCGCCGGTGAAGCTCCCAGCAGCTCTGTTGTCACATTCTCTGCCCCCACCCCCTTATACATCACATGAAACGTGGGTTGAGTGTTTGTGTTTGTTTTTCTGCTCTCCCCCCGCCCCCCCCCTTGCCTCTCAGATGACGGATGGGCTGCAAAACAGACACTGTGGAAGACAAATACACCGGGGAAATTTCAGTGTGGGTCGCAAAGTGGAGATGACTTGCTGAGATTCCCCAGCAGAACAGTGAGCCACTCTGCTACCACTCGCCACAGCGGCTCGGGACAGGCTTCGAGCTTTCCCGTGTGACTGCCCGCGACCTGCCGTTAGGCTCAGGTGCTGCCCTGGCACCCCTTACTGCTGCGGTCCCGCCTCTGGGAACAGGAGGTGCGAAGCACCGGAGCGCCCTGCTCACAGCGCTGCCACTGCCATTAAACGATACGGCCAACAATAAAAAGCTCGGTATTAAAGGAGTGGGAAAGGCGGCTGGAACGGTAGCATTGTTATAAAACAGAGGATCCCACATATATCCAGATGGTAATTAAAATGCAGGAGGTTTCTGGAAGCAGCTCTGTTTTCTAAACATGAATTCACTTCATGTTGAATGTACTTTCTACAGCAGTAGCGACTATAACCGGTGAACGGAAAAGCAATTAGCAGCCTTTCTGTGCACACTTAATAGATATGCAATGATATGGAATACGATAGGCAGTTTTTTGCAGCAGAAGCGTGCTACATAGAGATACTGGTCTGAGACGGTATACACGCATGCCATCAGTATTTTCTGTGTACCGAATGGCTGTCGCTTACCCAGAATGTAGCCCTGTATGTTCACCCACAGTGGATGAAAGCATCGCTTGGGTCTTGAGCTTTTCCAAGTTCTGGGGTTTGCTGAGCAGGGGTGAACTGCTCACCAGGACGGCAGACCCTGAGCTGTGCCACTGAGATAGTTTGTGGCCTTAGGAGGTCGGTTATCTCCTGCCACTTTGGTCCCTTTCGCTGCAAAGTGGAAATGAGGGTGCTTGCCCTGTCTGCAGTGCTGTGGTGGAATTCTGCTAACGTGCTCATAAATTTTCTGCTGAAAGACCCAACAGAACTTTAAAGGCAGAGCTGTCTGGCTTCCATGCCCAGTGTCCCCATGTCCCCAGACACCCTGGAGACTGAGCAGACAAGACAGGTTGTGGAAACTGGGAGGGCAGGATGGCTGGATGCCTCAGTACCTCACCTGGTGTTGTTTGTAGAGGTCTGAACAGACTTTCTCGGAAAGACCAGCGTGCTAAGAGAAACTGCTTTGAAGAGTTTCATCACGGCACAGGAACTTGGCTCGTTTTACCATAGTTTGCAGGATTTGAGGGAACTAAAAGATGGATAACAAAAGGTCTGTTTTGAAGAACTTGTGACTTTTACCGTCAAAGTCCCTGGTGGATTATTAGGCACATAACCATCATACCAGCCCCTCAGGTGACCTTCTCTTGGTAGCTGCCTCGGGAGAGACTAAGGACTGAAGGGTCACAGAATCACAGAATCATCCAGGTTGGAAAAGACCTTGAAGCTCCTCCAGTCCAACCATGAACCCCACCCTGACAGTTCCCAACTCCACCAGATCCCTCAGAACTATGTCAACCCGACTCTTCAACCCCTCCAGGGATGGGGACTCCACCATCTCCCTGGGCAGCCCATTCCAACGTCTAACATCCCGTTCTGTAAAGAAATGCTTCCTAATATCTAGTCTAAACCTTCCCTCTTGGCAGCTTGAGGCCATTCCCTCTTGTCCTATCGCTTATTACCTGGTTAAAGAGACTCATCCCCCCTCCCTGCAACCTCCTCAGGACTTTCTGCAGGGTGGGAGATGGTGCCTGTTCTGAAGCTTAGTAGGGTATCAGCCTCCAGGGCTGCATCAGCAGCATGTTTCAGTGACTCAGAAGTGAGACATCAGAAGAAGCAAATGAATTTGTCATTGCAAATTAGAAATTGATTTCAAGGGTATGAACTGCAGCTAGACTTGTAGCATGAAAGGTATGGGCCAGCTGTCTCTTCAGTCTTTAATTGGGACTCTGTCCTTACTGGCACCTTTCTTGCTTCTGTTATTTTCCATTTTCTTTCCCCTGCATATCTTAATTAGGCATGTAGATGCATGTATATGTGCATGTGTGTTTGCAGCTCAACAGGAGCCAGGCTGGTACATGGCTTCATGCAGGCTGCTGAAGCCAGGACACACACTCTGGGATGTTCCTACCGATGCACTGAGTGTCTGCCTGTGCCTACTTTTCTCCTTTTTTTACTGCTGAAATTTTCCTGGCAGTAATACAGTACTCTTTACTATCAGTCCATCACGCACTCGTGCTGCTAGTCCTGCAGATTTCTCTGTCTGATCTCCTCCTTAGTGTGAAGGTTCAGTTGTTCTTTATTTCAGCGTACAACACGTTACTGACTATAGCGATTCGGTAGTCCCTGTTCAATGCCTCAGTCTTAAGGATGTTTTCAAGAAAGAGGGGAGAGAAAGAGGAAACCAAACTCTCATTTTACCTGTCTCTTGGAGAAATCACTGGACAGCCAAGGCTATGTCTCTGAAAGCAAAGGGGCTGCTCAGGTTATGAAATTCTCAAACATTAGCTCAGCATGGCTGAACCAGGGCATAGGGAGATGTGTCAACCCATTAATCACTGTGGGACAGTTGCCAGCTCCCTGACTTTAATTGGGGACTTCTAATATTTATGCTGTTTGGAAGGTTTTTTGGTACTGCTGATAAAGGATTTCATTCCTCTCTAGTGAGGCCACGCAGAGACAGCAAAGGTGGGAGCTTAATTCAAGGTTGCTGGATGACTTGCAGCTACTGGGGGAAATTATGTTACTCAGCATTGTTTTTCCTACTGAAATTGCTGTCTTGGCAGCATCTTGAGGAGTTTTGCATATTTGTCTCTTTAAATTTCCTGTTCCTCAGACCTCTCTATCTTCACAGTGTGCAGTCATTGCATTTTTATTAAAGATCTCCATGGAAGTAAACAGCCTCGGAGGGCGCATCCTTCCAACATCCATGTCACGGGGAAGCAGGAGTGAAAGTGTTTCTTAATAAGGGGAGGAGAGGGACCTTGGGAAGTATGCTATTGACAGTGTAATAGGTTGAAAAATCATTCCTCTGAACTCAGATGACATCTCAAATGATAAACTTTAAAAGATTATTATGCTTAAAAGAGCTCCTTTCACTCAACATGATGTGTCTGTCTAGGGACACGATTCGGTGCTCACTTGCAAACAAGCCACACACAGATCTGCGAATTTTCACACCCCCATCTGCCTCTTTTACCCCTTCCCAGCTGTCACTCACTGCCTTCTTCCCAGCAGGAAAAAGCAGGGATGTTTGTAGGAGGAGAAGAAGCAAAACAGGCTCATCCCCCAGTACTTGCAGGGTGACGGTGGCCTACTTAATCTCTGCCTTCTTGTGGGGTGGCAGGTGAAGTGGATTTTCCAGCAGGAGATTTCTTCCAGCTTCACCCAGCTGCGGAACTGCAAATACAAAGACAGAAATTTTCTGGACACTGCCTTCTCCTTTTGCATTTAAAGTGTCACAAACTATATTGCCAAGCATATGCAAGACAGCGGACCTGAATCTGGGTGTTTATGCCAATATATCTGCTTTGATTTATCTGACATTGATCATCCCTTTATAATAGAGTTAATGTGAGGGTAATCTAGACCCATCAGCGCGGCTTGATGCTGCACTGCTTTTGCATCTGGTTACTTTATCAATTCAATGTGCAGCCTTTTGTCTACACTGAATATCCTTTGTAGGTCAGCTGCCAGGCAGGGAGCCTACATGTGTGCAGTGCTTAATTGGTCTCTCAGCTCCTTTCCATTCTATACTTTGTTTTGCTTACAGAGATCATCCTTTCCCTCCCGTTTCTCTTTCCCAGGAGAAAGGCAAGATGATGATGACAACGCATCCTCCCCTAATGGACCCTGCTGAGACAGGGATTTTGGCTGCAAGGGAGACTTTACAGGTATTTTGCACCTCACCAACCTTACTCCATGAGAAATAGGAAAAGAAAGATGACATGCTTCCAGTAATTTGACCTGCTTCCTGGGACCTTTGTTCTTCCTGCTCTGGCAGAATCTGCAAATCAGCCTGGTCTTGGTTTTTTACCCTGCGCCATCTCCCACAGTGCATAAGGCAGTATGATCCATCTACCTTGACTTCTCAAAGCTTCAGAGCAAAGAAAGTAAACGTGAAGGTGCTTAGCTGGCGGGTTTGTAAGGTGCTACATTAGCTAGGTTTCCAAAACCTCCTGAGCTGGAAGGGGTTTTTGGAAGGGGCTTGATTCTTCCTAAAAGTCTCATACTTCCTAATACATGCTAGTTACCAAACAATGCTACAGACCTGATGTGACTTCAGATGATGACTGAGCAGGGTCTTATTGTTAGAGTCTAGGCATAATCTCCTTACTGTATTTAAGCACCTTACCCCCTCTTACTGTCTGTAGTGCTCTTCTTGCTATAATAATGCTAATAGATTTTTTAAAATGATAATAAAGTTGATTCATATCCTGGGAAAAGTGCAGCTCAGACCTAGTTGATTAGTCAGATATTTTAAAATCTGTTTGGACTTTAAGTAATAAAAAGAAACAATAAGATCTCACTTTAGGTTTAATACCAGCGGAGGCTGTGGATGCAGTTCAAACTCTGCAAGGCTTCTGGTGGGAATGTTTCACAAAAGACACTTTGTCTCCTTTGGAACAAATGCCACCGAATAGTGGAATTTATTTCTTAATTATTTTTCCAGGGCCCCTCTGTTTCCAGCATGCTCACAAACACTTCACATAGAGATTTGCTTCTTTGGAATGGCATGAGGGAGGACCAGCAGTGGGGATTTGCTTTCTATGCATGGCATGGTTTGCCTCGTCTGCATGAGCTTTCTTGTTCCTAGGATACACTTGCTTGACTTAATTTATGGGCTTGCTTTATTATTTTTTCCCTTTGGCTGAGATCTGTTTTGACTTTCCCACTAAGCTCCTTTCTGAGCAGGGGCAAAACCAACAACACTGAATTTATTTAAGTGGAATTAAAGGGCAGTCCTTGTACTGAGACTGGGGCTGGGCTGTTAAAGCATGCTCAGCCTCCTGGGGTGCTGAGGAGCCTCATGTTTCATTCAAAAGCCAACGGCACAGAATAGCAGAGCCACTTCTAAGAACTGCAGTGGGGCTCTAACACCAGCAGCAGAGTGAAAGATGGGGGCTTTAGTTGGTGTTGAGATATAAATTAAAAAGAGTTGACCAACCACATTATATTAAGGGCTCATCTAGTTTTGTTGCCCAAGAAGCAACGTCTGGAACATGATGTGGTCCCCTTGCACCTATGGTGCAATAGTGACTATTAAAAATGGGTAGGATAGTTAATGCATATATAAACATTAAGAGCCATTTTAATTAATAAAAATGACATTCACCTTCTTCAGTAGCATTTATGAATTGCAAAGAGGGATCTTTCTGTATTGAATCGTCAACTGATGGTCCTTGAAGATTTAGCCCTTCTTTGTGTCTTCTCAGATCTTTTTCTTGTTCATATGCATTCTGTGTTTTGATTTTTCTTGTCCCCTTTTAAAATAAGAAGCAAACTGAAGCTTTCATCAGAACTATACAGAAATGCAGAGACTGGACAAAAGAACAAGGTATAAAAAAGCATGGCTTTCTTGAGCATACCAAGGGCATTACCAGGCATGTAAGAGGCACATCTACCCCTGAAATAGAGGGTGTTTCTGACAGCTCTCAGAGCAGCCCTGGCTGCTGGTTCCTCAGTGTGACACTGATGCTACCCCTCATGCAGTAAATTAAAAGCTGGAGGACAGTCTTTGGGTGTAGTGCTCACTGTACCAGTGGGTAGAGGGAACTCTCCATGTATGCGGGACAAGGTCTACTTCTTTTCTCATTGTTTTGTCCCCTAGAGGAGAAGAGCCAGGGGTAGAACTCAAGAATTTACCTTTTTTCCCTCTCAACTGGTAGGCTAGAATTACTCTGGGAAACACTTTGAGGAAACATGATTACATCTTTCAAAATCCAGTCTCTTTGCCTGATGCTAAATGAACAAGGCAACAGGTAAGGTGAGTTAATGAATCTTCCAACCCTACCCTTGAAGGACACAGATGGCTGAGGAGATCCAGTAACTCCAGAAAGGCAAAGGTCTAAGATCCCTTCTCATGTCTGCAGGAGATGGCTGGTACATCAAAACTGAACCTGCTTGACTGGGAGTGGCACAAGAGAAAATCGTAACCCCCATCCTGTACTACTCCTGCTCTGCAGTAGTGGTTCATCATCAGGGGTGGTTACTCCTGTGTTTCCAGCTGGCACTAGATGAGATTGAAAAACTAGCAGGGCCTTTATATAAATCATCTCCAGAGTATTCTTCTGGTGGTAGAAGTCCCAGAAAACTACTTTTCATAGCGTCTTTAGTACAACCACATATGCTGTGGGTTAAAAGTTTTTGACCCTGTCAGATGTTTGCTATGTGCAGCTGGGCTTGTGTTTGTCTCTTCTTATTAAAAAGGTTAGAGAGGGAATAGAGGTATAATGTAATACATTATTTGTCTTGTAAGTAAAAAATCCAGTGTTGTCTCTAGAGTCTTCCCTGCATTTTCTACTTTATCTCTATTTGCTGAAGTCATTGTTGGTCCTGGAATTTTTACAAGTAGTGAAATTGAAAGCACACAAATAAGAAAGAAACTAGACAGAAAAAGAATGACTCTTGTTGTACTAGGTGGAGGTGAATTTAAAAAGATGATGGCTGGATACATTGCTGCTCCCTAAGAAAGCAAGCCCAGTATTGCATTTGACTTTAGGATGTAGTGCTGGGAATTTTCCTGTCTCCTCACATGTACTCCAACTTGAATACTGGTGATAATTATTTGTGACCATCAGCTGACAGGAATTACCTTAGAGAACCTAAAGCCAGCTTTCCTGCAAGGCAGTGCCCATATCATAACCCTATCAGGTGTCACAGCTGGCGAGTGTCTGCACAAGAAGGCAGGGGAGTGACTTTGACACAGACGGCTGGCCTGGGTAGCAAAAATGAAAATGTGGCATGAGAGGCATCAACATGGGCTACTAACCAAGGTAAAGACATCTGTGTCCACACACCAGTGTTTTGCTGGGCACTTCATCAGTGTGTGCTGTCTGTTTTTTAAAGTGTCTCTTCTGGTTGGAGCAGAGCTAACACAGCTGGCAACCCCACATCACAACCAACCCTCTACTCTCCTAAGGAGAGCTTTCTAGTTACCCTGACCAGCTGGCAGGTCAGTGGGGTGCTCAGAAATGGGTTGGCCCACACCGATGACACTCTTTTATCATTCCTGAGTTAGTTACCATTCCTGCGTACTGGTGCAGAGGAGTTTGTATGTTGGGCCTCCACAAGTTAGACCATTGACAGACTTTGGGGATGGGATTTTCATGGCAAAGCGTCTGCTCTTTGAATCAGAAAAATTAATGGCAATCAGAGGACTGCAGCAGTTCACTGCTAGGAGCCATCTGCCAGATGAAGCTTACTTCAGGCTGGGGTTGTTATTTGAGCATCTTTTGTGGGTTTGATTAGAAACGATCTTGATTTCTTCATTCAGGAATTTTAGCTGGGGACACCTTTTAACCCTTTTAGTCCACAAACTTACCCATTTTTACAAAAGATTTCTTTCCCTTCACAGAAAAATTTCTACTCAGTCTCCTTCTTCTAATGAACACCAGAAAAGTGTCTTGAGCAACACACACCTGTGACAGGAGAAGCAAATGATGTTTCCTCCTGTTACTTCACTTTGACATGTCTTTGGTTCGCCTACATAATGGCACTTTTTCCACATGCTTCTCCTTCAAGAATTCACTGCTTGTCACACCTAATGATTTATTCACTCGTCAACCTTTTTTTAGGTTGACAAATATCCTGCAAAGATAAGGCACTGGCCTTTGAAAATATGGTGCCAGTAATTAAAATGAAGAATGCATTACAGTAAAAAGTAGAAATACGGGTCTAAAAGCCACACTGGTATTTTTAGTGATGGGAGTAATTGAGGGTTTCAGTTTAATAATTCAGTGCAGCTGAGATTAATAAATGATATGAGGTAGAAATGGTCTTTCAAGAAGAAGGATTTCAGGGGTATAGTTAACAATTTAATTTAGTATATCCTTAAAGATGCTGCTTGAATTACTGTATAATATAACTCAGCAGAGTCCTACAATTTCTGAGCCTGTCTTGTGAAAGGAGGAACACGCATCCTGCGTGAGGACTGTGCAGAGTGAGGGGACCCATCTGAGAAGAAGGCAAAAAGCCTGGAAATCCCAGCCCTGATGCTTGTTCCTGCCACAGTCTTTGGCGAGTCACTTGGCATCGCTGTCGGTATCAGCCCAGGCAGCAGCAGCAGGGAGTCTGTAGAGAGGACCAGCGACCTGCCAGACCACGAGCTTCCATGGTGAAGTGCCTGTTCATGACACAAGCCCTTCAGGGTGGGCCAGAAGGAAATCCTCTCCTCGTTTCTCAAGAGTAAGTTGGTACAGAGAGTGGGGCAGGAAATCATCGCTGTATGGGTGAAATATGGCAGGCCAGGGACCTGAGGGTTGGTGGAGAGACATCTCCCCAGGGGCAAAGCTCTGGGTAGGTACATTGGTCATGATCACTTTTTATCTTCCTTGCTCCATCTCCCGAAAGACCCAGAAGGCTCCAGGCCAGCTTCTTCCCCTTATTGAACAGGTTTTAGGGCATCAGAACAGCTTTGAAATGAAAGGACTGCATGTATGATTAGAGTCCAGTCCTGCAAATCTTACTTGCAAACACTATAAACAGGCAGCTTCTTACATGTAGTCCCATGGGGTTCATGATCTCAATGTCTTTGCAAGTGCTGTGCCAGAAAGTATTTTTGGGTTGGATCCCATAGTTCTCATCATGTCCTGCTTGCACAGGAACTCTCACTGTGGAAGCTGTAAGCTTCACCTGTTTATATTCCTTGGCTCAGTAAAATTATTTGAAAGGATTAGTTCTGTGTAGCCAGGAGACGCACTTACCAGGGCAGTTTGTTGGGTCTCCTTTTAAGCATCATGGATACATTTGATGAAATTTTTTTTCTCTTCATTATGAAAAGACTAAATCTGATGAATGGTCGTGTTCTCCATGTAAGGTGTGAGGTCAAGCAGCGCTGAGCTGTGGATAGGAGGAGGTTTAAAATCTTACATTTGGCTACAGAACAGCTTTGCTTGGGTGTTGTCCTCTGAAAATGGGAAAGCTGCTACTACCCTGCTCCCCTGCAAGGATGTGCTCATTCAGGGTTATAAAGCAAACCTGAAATCCAAAGCACTTGCTAAGGGACAAGGATTGGGGAAATTTCCATCAGCTATTTTTTTTCATGGCCTCCAGGAACATGGTCTGTCATGCTACCAGATGTAAGGCCTGTGGCATTCCCTTAGAGCCCTTCTGTACAGAGATTTGTCTATGTGAAACAGGGCCATGGTTTCTCGCTCCCCTTGGCTGTGTAGGTGCCCGTACACTCTGAGCTGCCTCCCTGGCCAAAAGTGTCAGCAAGTCTCCTCAGGCACAAACCTGGGCTCAATTTTTTGATACTTCTGACTCGAAAAGCCCCAGAAGAGCTGCATGTGGTGTGCAGCGGCAGCACGGAGCGGCCCAGGCAGCCTCTCCATGCCTGAGCTGGCTGCAGTCTGCTCACAGCTGCGGGTGGGCTGGTCCTGGGATGCTCTCAGCTTCCACCTTCATGTCTCCCCACAAGAGCTGCCTCCCCCGCTAACAGTGAGGCTGTCATCCTGTGTGAAGAGACTCTGAAGACAATAACCATGCCACAATCAGAAGCTGGCCCTGGCCCAGACATTCTATTCTGCTGCCAGAAGGTAAAACATCCATCAGCTAGGTTCAGTTCAGATCCTGATTCAGCAAGATCCCTAAAGCCTGTGAACAGTCCTCTGGGCTTCTTCCTGCTCTAGTGCTGGCATCAATAGGGTTAAACTCAGATGCTTTTCTTACACTCAGACACTGGAAAAACCTTATTTCCTGTCTGTATGTTAGGTGGGTGAGTTATACTGCAGACATATATTACAGCTGGAATGCATGTGTTGTGTGAAATGTACTTCCATGACTTTGCAGTGGTGATTATACATATGGAAATTTTTCAGGCTTTCTCCCATTTGCTTTACAAGGTTCACTGTATACCTTGCTTACACCCCTAACTTTCCACTGACATCGATGGATGAGTGGAGACAAGTTCTGGCCACCCTTTGAAGTTACGGAGTGATCCTGCACAAGCGGTCAATTATTTTGCACTCAAAGTACAGTTTAACAACTTTCTATATGTCTGTTTCTCATTTCAGTTTCTAGCATAACCTGAAATTATATGGGTAATATTGTAACATTTGGTGTGTTTGGTTGTGTTTTAATGATTTTCCTGATTGTGATTTTTTTTTTTCTCATTAGCTTTAGCTTTGTGATAGCGTGATAAATTTCAAAGAAAATAATTGGTTTGTACCAGGATCAAATATCTCCACTTCCTCTACATCAAAATTTGTCCAACACTAAAGATGACAGTATAGAAGGTGTCTGTAAAAATCAGTAATCAGTAAAGAGACACCACAGTATTAGCAGGAGTTTCCAATCTTTTTTACAGTCTAATACTGTCTAGGACACCTGATAAACTGGAAGCAGCAAGTACATTAAATACGGCGCAATGGCTTATGCAGAACCGGCCAGGATTTCTGCTTTACTCATTTTATCAGTTTAAATCCCATGATACTTCCCCTGATGGCTACAGCAGGTACCCGTAGGCTACACAGTGCCATCTCAGCCCCTGAGCGTGAAAATCACGTTGTTTCCATTTAGTTCCTAGGCCGTGCTGCTTAGGCACTGGTGCATTACTCACATTTGGGCTGAATTATATTTTGATTTGACCCGACCTGCATTGCATTACTTGCCAAAATGCTGAAAAAGCCCTTATCAGGGAGGCAGGTAGCAGCCTCAAGGGCCTTCTCAGCATCAGCGACCAGGTTTTATCGTCCAGATGATTGCTGTATCCTAGGAGCGTGGAATGATCCTCGCTAAGGCCAGCTCTGCTGTGTGGGAGCGGAGGGAGCACTGGCCAGAGCTGCCCGCTGCCGCGGGGCGTGCACAGCCTGACCCCAGAGCCATGGAGAGCTCTCGGCAGAGCAGCCTCCAGCTGCCCTCCAGACGGCTTTGCTGCTGCCTTAGACTTACAGTAGAGACAATACCAGAGGGATGAGTCGGAAAGAAAAAGTGATGCCACTTTTAAAATGAAACTATCCACACCCTCCAATTCACCCTTGGCAATAGCCAGCTTGGCCACTGTTCCTGTGCCCACAGGTGATACCACACAGCTTTTAGGCATACAGATCTTAACCATCCCATTATACCATTGTGGTCTTCCACATAGCTACGTATATTTTTGTCTCTCTCCCAAAAAGAGCATTTCTCCTAAATATTGCCACTAAAAAAACACCTTAAGCTTGCAGACATGCACGGAACAGAAACGGTGCAATGGAGATTTTCACCACCTCTGTGCATGTATGAGCCTCTCCACTCATTCAGCTTCTGAAACTGTTGAGTTGAACTCCAATTAATTTCTGTAAAGACCACAAATCAAGTCCTGTCATAACCAGAGAGCATGGGTATCATTATTGCTTACCTCTGAATGAACCTGAAAAGCAAGGTGATCAATCCAGACATAATTGCCAGTGTCGCTGACTAATCTTTCCTGAGCAACTGAGGGCCTCTTCCACTGGCAGCCTGTCAGTCTCAGAAACAGCAATGCAATGTGGCAGCCCTCAGGTGGGATGAAAACACCCTTTCAAGCAAATGTCAGTCATTAGCAGTAGGCTGTTCTTTCAGTGTTTTGCAGCACAGCTCTAATTCCACCATGAGCAGGTGGAGATGCCCTGTGCAGTCTGTACCTTCCCAGGTATGGCCAGGATCACCTAGTCTTGGCTAAACCCTACTTCAGCCATATGCTTAAGCAGGTACTTAGAGTAAAGCATGAGCTTAAGTCCCACTGAATTCACCGTTAGTCAGATACTTAAGGGCTTGATTTAAAAATTAACGCAGTAAAACACATCCTTGGTCAGTTCTTAATCACACGACTTCCATGGGAAAGCAATCACATGGAAGCAGCCTCCGGGCTGCTAGAAAATCAACACGTAACTGACACAGTATATTATTTGTAAAAGGTTTTAAAATATTTTTGCCACTTTTTAGAATGAGGGTTAGCCTTAGTAACCGTGAAGTTAATTCCAGCTAGTTGGAGTTTATTCCAGCATTGATCTCTGTGAGACCCTGTGTCTCCATCTATGCAATGGAACCAAGAGCAGAAGGGGCTTTTTAGGAAAGTGTTTTCACAGTAACCCATGTTATTCTCTAAACTTCAACCCAAAAGTTTTGCTTTTAACCCTTTTCCATCCTTCCATCTGTTGAACACAAACCATTCATACAGCCCGAAGGTCACCTTTTCATTAACAGTGTTTAAAAAAACTCCTCAGGTTATGTCATGTGGCTTCTGTTTAAATGTAGTTCCCAGATAATTAGTCTGGTAAAGTATCTATATTTGCAAGCAAAGAATAACTATGCTATTATCCCAGCGGAGATCAGCAAAGGAATTTGGGGAATGCAGATGCTGATAATTGTAGTTCCTGTAGTTAGCTGGAGCAGACAGACGGCTGCCCTTGTGCAGACCTCTCTTGGTGCCAAGAGTGTTACACACGGGACAAAAGGCAGTAGATCCGATTGCAGGATGAAAGGCCAGATTCTGATGTCCCACCTCATTTTATTCCATCCTTTCTCAGTTAAAGTTATCACGAGGTATTTCCCAAACAAAGATCAGGAAGATTCCCAGGAATCTTAAATAGATGGAGACTAGGAATATTTAATTTATTTTCTGAGAGGGGGCTGTAATTCTTCTTGCCTTTTTTCTTTCTTTACTTTTTTTTAACCTGTGCCTGAGTTGCTAAATAATATCAGTAAGATAATTCTGCCTGTATTCCAGTGTGTGCATGCTGTTGTGGCTGTACATCTGTACAGGGAGGCAATATAACACGTCAGTGGTCAGCCTTAACAGAGATAGAAATAGGGAGAAATATCACTTCAATAGACCCAGGAACAAGCTTTCAATGTGGCTTCAATGCTGCTGTGCCCATCACAGCCAGTTTCACTTGGTTTCTGCTCTTGCAGTTTGAGTGTAGACATGGGCCTCTGCAAGAACAAGAGGTTCATCTCAACCTGATGCTCCTTAATCATCCGTTTTATTGGAATGCAAAAAAAAAGAATGTGTTGTACATTGACTTGGCGTTGGCCTGGCAAGTTGGATGGAGCTTTGAGCAGCCTGAGTGGAAGGTGTCCCTGCCCCTGGCAAGGGACTGGAACTAGATCATCTTTAAGGTCCCTTCCAACCCAACATTTTATGATTTTATGACTCTATGACTTAATACCATTTTTCCTAGCGCAGAGGAAGAGGGGATCTTGTTTGCACCCCAGTGCAACTGGAGCAACCCCACTGGTGTTGATAGCAAGTGAGGAGTTTGCAGCAAGCTCATAGCCCTTGGGTGAAGCTCTGGATCCTGAACTTGTAGTGCTGCAGCACTCACTCGAGCCTGTACTTGTGCTCTCAGGTGCTTGTCTGACTCCCCTTCTCTCCCTCCTCTCCTCACCAGGCTTTGGGTATAACCACAACAGGAACTGACACTCGCCCGATGGCTACATCAAATCTTTTTAAGGCAATGGAAGCTGAACGCTGCCCGAGAGGGCTCCCCTGGCTGACAGACTTCACCCCCTTCTTTCACTAAGCCTTAAATAATGAAATCTTCTGGCAAAACAAAGCAGTTTAGAGATGTACGGCATTCTTTATTTCCTCTTTACCGAGAAGGCATTTCATCAGGCAACTTTCTGGGGAAACTGATTTAATTATACAAATGTAAGATGCTACTTACCACTTGATACCTCTCTAGCCTTTATACATAAAGTCAGACTCGAAGTAGGGAAATAACTGGAGCAGACGCGTGCATGTGTAGTGCCCTGTTTTCCACGGCTAGTCAGTGATGACAGCAATGTGGTGGTGTTTCGCACAGCAGCTCCTGCAGAGTAAGCTGGCAGGAGGGTGACACAGATGAAGGCTACTGTTGTGTCTTCCTCTGTGTGGTTGTGATTTCTGGTGATGTTCTGTACATTTGCAAGGAACATAAAGATACTTGGATTTCTAAGGCTGTAAAATACTTTTCACTGGGAGGGGTGAGCACGGGCTGATGAAGAAATGCAGTCCTGTGAAAAGATGCCAAAAGTGGCTATGACAACTCTTTACCAAAAGAGCCCTGTTTGGACCCTGGCGTGCCAGGAGGAACCAGCTCAGCAGGCCCAGCCTGACACAGGGAGTGATATGGGGAAATCCTACAGACCCTTCCCCTGATGTCAACCCCTGCCTGAGCAGGACTCAGGGACAGTTTTACTTCCCAGCTCATCTCAGCCCAACAGCCTATGTCTTGAGTAGTCCCAAAGAGTCAGCTGGGGCAGCATCCTGCTGGCAGGACCTGCAGCTCTGGCTGCTTTGAAGGAAAATGCAGCTTCCTCAAGGGGACACTATTCCTGCCTCCAGTTTGTGGTCGGCTTGAAGACTTGAAGCCTGAGAGCTGATGAACCTTGTCATTTCATCTCAACTGACAGTGCTGCAGATGCTCAAATGAGGTCGATGCTGGATCTTTGTTTAAAACTTGCCTGCGTGCTTTACCTCCCTGATGGCTGATGGCTCTCACAGGTCACAGAAATCATCTGCCACAGTGATACTCAACCTGTGCCTCCCATGCCTCAGTGCATCTCCTGCAGCCTGGCAGTAGCTCCCCTCACATCTGCTGTTTGTGAAGCAGGCAGGGAGCTGATCACAGGAGGCTGCGGGGGAGAACAACGCCAGGCAGGAGAAGTCACGCTTGCCTCTGCTTCTGTTACAGCCAAGAAGGAAGAGAAACATGCTCCTTCCCCTCAGGCAGTGGAATAAAAAGAAACCACAGAGGACCACAAAACCATCACAGGACAACATCTGCAAACGCTGTGCACTGCCTCGAACAGGCTGGGACACAAGCACGTGAAGATAACCCTGTGTGGCAACTTCGCATCAGTTGTTCTGCAGTTTGCTTTCACATGAGGGGAATTAAATGGATGCTGACACAGGATCAGAGCCAACAGAATTATGTTTTCAAAGGGAAAAATCCCCACATAATATGTCACAGACATGTCTCTTCTCACACAGCTCCCACCCCAGACAGTGCTCTCCCTCCAAGCGGGGAGCAAGCAGGAGTACCTGGAAGCTACCTTTGTGCACCTGAGGCACCTAGTTTTATTAAGCCAAGCTTTCTTAAAGAGGAAGTGAGAGCCCAGCTAGGAAAAGCTTTTCTTAGGCTATGATTTTTCAGATCCTTTGTTTCTCTTTAAAGTCTTACTAAGAAAAAAAAATGAAATCCAGAGGTTTTATTTCTATTTAGAGCATTTTGAGTTTAAAATAAGCCTTCAACCTGATCCTAGCAAGAAGCAGGCCACACCAGTAGCTGATGGAGAAAACCAGAGGAACATGCTTTCCCAGCCTATACCCATTACAGGTATGTGGTTGTTTCTCTTTCTGTAAATCAAGCCCTGGACAGGGTTTTCTAAGGGCTGGTTGATCATGTATTTCTAGAGCTTGCAAAACGGACAAAGATAAAAGTGGGGATTATCCATTGCTTTGAAGGATAAATATAGAAGTAGTATAAACAAATACACTTTCTCAGGGAAATTTTTGTTTCCTGTAGCTTTAACTGCCTATCAGGGATCCAAATAAAGAGTAATAGAGAAAGCTGACCACTTCTCTCCTAGCAGCCTTATTTCTACAAGTCAACAGCAAGAAAACCAGTATAAACACCTGCCTTTAACAGCTAGCTCACAAGTACCTTAATTAGTCCACCAAGCTTGTGCTCTCTGCCTGAATTTGTAGCGGAGGGAAGGGGATGCACCTCTTCACCTGTTCTTTCAGTATTCAGTCACCGGAGGCGTAAGCACTTCTGTGCTACAGATGTTAATTTCTGAATATAACACCCCCTGGTGTTGGTAGCATTGTGCCTGTGTTAGAGCAGCTTCTCATCACAGCTAAAAGAGCTCTGCTCTTAAATTCGTTATTAAATGTAACTTTACCTGCTGTTGGAGGAATTAAATTGTAATATGGTCTAGTGACGGTACAACCAGTGGTGGAGAAAAGAGGCAGAGCCTGACTGAGCTCCTGCCTTTGCTTGGCATCTGTTTTCCAGGACACATTCAAATCCCACCCAGAGGATGCCGGGGACAGCCGGCAGCTCTCCAAAGGCAGGCAGCAGCCTGTGTCACAACTGTAATTCAGCAAAAGCCAAGGTGCACAGCATGTGCCTCTCCTTGGTGAATAAACTCACAATATTTCACCTTTTCCCAACACTAAACACAAGTTTAATAATTGCTTCTGCAAAGCTGAGAAAGAGGAGGGCCTGAGAGAGGAGCAGATTAAGGCAATATTGAATAGCAGGTCTTGGAAAGCTGAAATGAGGTTTGGACCCATGACAAAAAAGACATAGTGATGCCAGAGGTGTCTGAAGGACAACCTTTGGTCTTTAACATCAACGCTCAGCAGCTGCCATGCTCCTGGATTACTTAACACAGGCTTTTACATTTCATCTGGGAGGCTTTACGAGCAACTAGTTGTTTGCAGATGGATGTACCCAAACCAGTAAAGCCCTGAGCTGCCGCAAGCTGAGCTCTCATGTGAGCCCCGTGGCACATGGGCGGGTCTGCTCTCTGCAAAACAGAGGAGCAGGTGCTGGTGGTGCCAATTCTTTTTTCTGTCTCATGCTGCTCTTACAGTCCCTTCCCTGGGGCAGGACTGGTTTGAGTTGAGCTTCCTCTGTTGCTTCAGAGGGTCTGGCCTGGCCATCTGTAAGAGGAATGCTGCAAGCAGCAAACTGTGGGGCATTTAAGTGCAGTTGCTGAAGGTTTGTGCTCCACTTTGTGCCCTCTGTTTTGGGTCAGATGCGTTTCTGGAGGTACCAAGATGTTATGTTCAGAGCTGGTACCCTTATTCTTTTTGTGGTGGCAGTCCAAAATGTGGTTTTGAGGTTTTTTCTTTTCTCCCCACAAAGGAGATAACCCATGAATAGTTATCGGCAATGGACCCAGAGAAGAAGAGACCCTGGTTTCAGGGAGGCAGCCCGGGTGCATGGGGTAATGTGTTTCAGCTCCAGGACAGGAATTCAGGGTTTTAGCAGCTGCTTGAGTGCCTAAACCAGGCTGGATCACCCACTGAAGCTGGGGGGGAGCAGGGTTGGGATCCTGCCTCAGATCACATGCATACCCAGCTCCTGCTGTTCCCAGAGTTGCCAAGTATTTAATCCTCTGTGGGCTGTGACTTGAAAAGATTGTGTTTGACCTCCTCTGAATGGGAAACGCTCCTGATGGGGTACAACGGAAACAACATCAAGTTCAAAGAAACACAGGAATGTGGCTTGCTGGATTTGGGATTAGACTTCATGGATTTATAAGGATGCATCCCACCCTGCTATTTGATCATTACCATGTTGCAAAGAGTGGTGAAAAGCACCTGGCTGTGGTCACTGTTTCCTTCTGCAGTGTTGTGGGGCTTGCAGCAGCGTGTCAGGAAGCTTTACAAACCACAGCAAAAGAGATCTCAGCCTTTCCCACCCGGACCCAGAAGGGTTTAAATGCAAATGTTGCTGCTTTAAAACTTTAGATTCCCTTATACTTTGAGAAAGCCCTAATTTGAATGTTGTTCTTCAAGCCCCTGATGGTGCTCCAGTGGTCTGAGTGAGCTTAAACAAAACAAAATTGGGTTTAAAAAAGCAGCAGTACTGAGCAAACCCTGTACGCAGTGGGTGGCTTTGTCTTTTCTGTACAGCCAAATGTCAGAACTGCAGTCAAAAATATTTATCTCTGTACAGTACATGAAAAGGCCGTGAGGAGTCATGGCTTCTCCTCGCTGCTTTTCTGTTCAGCAGCTCTGGGGAGGATAAACTCCCTCCATGCACAGATGCCCCAGCTCAGGCCACTGACAGAGTCTCCCTTCAGAATACTATTTCCCTGCTGCAAAATTGTATTGTTAACTAATACCAGCTGAGATCTTTCCATAGGGAAGTAAACAAATAAGGGCTTTTTTTCCCCCCCGACTTGTTGCAGAAAAAACACCCACGATGTGTTTGAAGGGGAAAGAAAGAAACAAGCTCCCTGATGTGCAAAGATTCCAAAGAAATTGGAAATGATGACTCCCTCCCTGGTGAGGTATATTGCAAACAAGGTCTTTGTCTTCCAGCTTTAGAAAAGGCAGTGTGTCTCTTTAGTGCAGGTCCAGCTCCTCGTGGCAGAGGGGTTAGAGCAAGGAACAAGGGGGTGAAAGCAAAGCAGCCTGGCTGCAGGGGGGGGGCCCAGCCCGTCCCCCTCCGTGTCAGAGGGAGAGGAGGGGGATGCTGCTGCGGTTCAGGAAGGGCTGGGGGGCTGTCAGAGCCACCTGCCCGCTCACCTAAGGAGTGCTGCGGCTCGAGGGGCAAGGGCCAGCACTGGGAGCCACCAACCAGAATTTCTAGTCTGAACCGGCCCCAAAGCCCTATTTGATATGAGCAGGCAGCTCATGCAGGCACCACACTGTGTGTGGCCCTGGAGGGACTCGCCAGCAGATGGTTCCTGTCCCTGAGAGCCCTGCGGCAAAGAAGCGAGACATTCCAGAGGAGGCAAAAAAATTGTGTGTTTCTAAGTGGGGGAACTGAGGCATGAAGCAGCATCCACTGCAAAAATGTCAGGAATAAATCATCTGCTTCCACTGGCAAGAAGATGGGGAGCATAGGCGTGTGTGGGGCAGGCTGTGGGGAGGCAGCAGCATCAGCGCCCTGTGCCTGTGTCCTGCTGCCACTGGTTTGGGTACCCAGCAGCTGGGAAGAGTTTGGGTTTAGTCCTAGTGCCTCAGGCCTGGATGTGGCCCTGGTGGCTTCTCCGAGTCCACTGTGACCTCTGGTGCCTGTGGAGACACTGGGTCCCCACTGTGAGCAGGGAGCTGGTGAGGTAGCCAAGACCTGGTACGTGAGCCTTCAAAAGCCAAGACCACATGTGACCCACCAAGGTTGTAGTTCCTCACACTGCTCCCCACCGTCACACTGGCATCTCTTCCATCAATCTCACTGTCAAGACCCTGAGAAAAGGGCAAGGCAGAAGGTGTAGCTGAGCACCTACCCCACCAATAAAAAAAAAAACAAATCAACCCTTTGGACCCCTTCAGGACTGAAGAAACAACTCATGAGAGAGGTGTGCTAGTGTGTCCTGATGGATCTTTGGTAGGAAGCAGGAAAAGGAGCGAGGCCCTTCCCAGCAAAGCCAGCTGCCTGCTCTGCTGAGAGCAGGGAAGCGAAGCAATGGCTGCTGCTGTTCCTGCTGAGGGGGGTATGGCCATGCAGGAGTGCTAACAGCGCTGGGAGAGCAGGGAGGGGGAACCAGCAGAGTCAGGCGAGCGTAGCTGTACCATCACTCGGAGGATGCTGCTCTGACAGATCCCTCTGGTATGGTGAGACTCCTTTCATTCCTAACGTTGCAGTCATTAGTCACCAAACCAGAAAGCATCTCATCTCTGATACTGATTTCCTGCCCTGGCTACTGATCCAGGCCATAATCACTTCGTTTTTCTCCCAGGCAAGAAGTAGACTGGAAATGAGTCAAGAGCTGGGGTCAAATGAGGAAGAATTATGATCCCCCAAGGAAAAACATTTCTCAGCTGATGAAGTGTGAACCCAAACAGCAGGGAGGGGATGAGGACCAGCAAGCCACTAACCAATATTCATTAAACCTCCCAGTACTCTGAAATACAACAGGGGCCACAGCCATCCTGGCTGGGAGCTACAGTGAGGGGCACGGGGGCCAGCCCCTTGTGGTGAGGTAATCGGAGGCACCAGGTTCACACGTCTGCCTTTGTGTTCACGTGCAACCATTAATTTTTCTCCCACTTTAAGAAGAGGTGAGGCAGAAGAAAAGGTGGCACAGATACTTTTTCCTGGCAGAAATTGCAGTGCTGCTCTAGTTTGTCATGGGTAGTGTCACAGGGCTGGGGGGACGAAATCCCGAAGCCATAAATCCTGTGGGTGGGTGGTTGAGCATGTGAGGAAGAGGGGAACTGGCAGGCAGCTCCTGCCCACTCTCTGCTGGGTCCAGAGTGCCTTTCGTGTCCACTCTGGCAGGGGGATGACAGCTGCGTTTATCACATGCCAGGGCCCAAAAGAAAAATGTGCCACTTGTTTTATGGTCAGAAGTAACCTGTTGATTAGCACTGCACTCTGTAAATATTGTGTCCCCTCTCTTAACAGGGAAACCAGCCATAACTGGTCTCTTAGTTTTTTGGAGATAGAGTAAATCATGAGATTAATTTCCTTTCTTTCTTTTTTTTTTTTTTGATACCCTTGTCAGCAGTAAAGTATATTAAACACACCATAAGCAAAAGCCTTCATGCTACCCAAGAAAATATATTCCTTTAGGGAGCCACCTCATGCCAGCAGGTTTCCAGCATCTGTATTTACCTCTGGCTGGTTCTTTGTAGACGTGGAGACAGGTCACGGCCACTGGCAAATCACCTGAACTCCACTTTTTTCATAAATAAAGAGAATTTTCAGATAATTTAAGTTGGCGTAAACTTACCATCCTTCTCCCTGGAGTGTGGAGGATGCTGGGTATTGAGCCAGGGGCATTGATGGAGCAGCAGCAGG